AGGTTCATTCATTCAGGTTGAAGCTTCCAGAGAAGTTCATCGTGAATGATCAGAATGGTTGTGATGTCACGCTACGTTCATTCATTCAGTGGCAAAGAATGCACGCCTGGCTGGGGTTCGTTTTACGGTTTCTTTGCGGTTCTTTTTTTGCCAGTTGGCTGGCTTTTCCGGCTGGCGGGTTTCACCGCGGCTCGTTTTTCTATTTTCTTTTAAATTGATTAAATAAATATGATTTTTTCATTTTATTCATTTCATTCAGGTTGAAGCTTCCAGAGGAGTTCATCATGGAAGATGTCAGGCTACGTTCATTCATTCAGTGGCAAAGAATACACGCCTGGCTGGGATACGTTTTATTCTTTTTTCTCTGTTTTTCTCTGTAATTTAACATTAAGTAAGAATGCTCACACGCACACACACACACACACACACACACAATTACATTATGTAGCTATATAGGTAGGTTAGATAGGCATAATTTTAACTGTAGGTAGGATAGATAAGAAGCATCCAACACTAAAGTAGTTGAATAGGTAGGCAGCGTAAGTTTATCGCTTCTATTTTTTCTTGCATCCGCATTACACGCATCAGCGTATTACATACCCACACAAATACATACATAAACACATATGTTAGTATTTGAGCGTAATTTTATTTTCATTACACATTCTAATTTATTATTACTAAGGTTGAGAGTAATTTAATTTCATAGGTAGTTAAGGGCAATAATGTAATTCTAGGAAAAATCTTGTAATGTAAATTAAAACGCTGTAAGTGTATCGATAGGTAGGCTAATATAAGTTTTACATTATTATTATTATGTTGGAGCCCAAGGCATTACGTAGGTGGTGGGGTGGGCGCCGATTGGCTAAATGAATTGGGCTCTTGAGTTATGTAATTTTAGGTAAGCTAGGACCGTAATGTAATGAATAGGTAAGATAAGGCTACGTTGTAACACATACTCATTAATGGATATAGGGTTTAAGTTTTATATTATTATTACTAAGTTGGAGCCCAAGGCATTACGTAGGTGGTGGGGTGGGTGCCGATTGGCTAAATGAATTGGGCTCTTGAGTTTTGTAATTTTAGGTAAGCTAGGGCTTAATTGTAATGAATAGGTAAGTTGAGGGTACGATAGCCGATTGACTCTGGATTTCAAAGTCTCTTGTCAGAGGTAAGCCTTGGTGGCCAGTGGTGAACCGGCAATGGTTTACTATCCGGACGGCAATGGTTTACTATCTGCACGGTAATGATTTACCATGCGGCATGGCCATAGTCTACTACCCGCACGGCTTCCGGACGGCAAATGGTTTACTATCCGCACGGCAATAGTCTACTATCCGCACGGCAATGGTTTACTATCCGGTGCCCTGGCTATCGGTGAACCTCTGTGCAAGGAGGGAGAATGAAGGGGGACTTTCGACTATCGTACCATTAATAATTTAATATAGATTAGTTAAGGTAATTGAATAGGTAGATAGGATTATTTTTATTAAGCAATTTGAGAGGCAGGCACCGCTAAGCTTTCTGATGAGAATCTTTCCTTTATTTTTCTTCCTCAACACGGGCTGTTTTGGAAGACAACGTAGGAACCGAACCGCATTCAACATTCTGCCTTTGTCGAATGAACGACGGTAAGTTTTTTTACATTTTACTCTTTTTATTATTTTAAAATATTATTTATTTGACATTATTTTATTTTATAGTTTTTTTTGCTTCTAAAGTTCTAACATTCATTTACTACTACGCAAATTGTCTACAGAATGATGAGAGGTGGGCAGTGGTGGGAGTCAGCACGTTTCAAATGATGGTCTCATGATGGTGGAGTTGGAAGAATCAGCTCGTTGGCTGTTCGACTGACACTGCAGTTTGGATGAAATCTTGTGTGCCGACCAGATGGTGGTGGTCGGTGCAATGGAGTACAGTAACGACGATTTTTGAAGTAAGGTTTAGTTTATTTTTTTATTTTTCTCATTTGTTCGTTTTATCACTCAACCTTTCAAATTATTCTTCCATTAATTGATTCGTTAATTCAGTCTATTCA